GGAGTATGGTGGAAATCTCTGTTTTAGCATGTACTCGCACTTCTCTGAGACAAATTCAGCTAACTTGAAGAGACTGAAATACGGTGTTGAGTTGCCCCAAGTCAAGAGCAAGCACAGCCAGCCCAGAACCTCGCTTCGTAAGTGGAAGCAGCGTCAAGTCAGAACAAGTAATTTGACTAATTTCCCTCGCAGGGGGGCAATCATAATATATAGCAGTCCGGCCTGAGGATAATTATCAGACTTGTTAAAATCCTGAAGATGGCATGAACTCACGAATGGATCTCACGAATGGTCGTGAACTCACGAACAGTCCGGCCTGAGGATAATTATTGTCCATCTCTTTCATGAACTGACGAATGGAACTCACGAATGGATTTCAACACCAGCCCAAGCACAATGGTCACCGTCTCACGAATGGATCTAAACCTCCTACCTTAATCTCCAAGAGAACTTGCGTCACCAATTGGACCGGCGTCCGTTGATCATGAACTCTGTTAAACACCCTGCATTTCTCTGCTTCCACAACGCCCAAACCGTCCCAAGCACAAATGAATCAAAACCTCGGCATGTTATGCTACTAAACCTCCCTCTCTGCTGAAGCCACCATTCGGTGAAAGTGGTAATCTGGGTAGGCGACTGGATCTTCAGCTGGAAGGTGTCGAAGCATCGGTGCGAGACCTCTCTAGCGTACACGCATTGCACAAGTATGTGATCCACATTGTCCTGATCCTGCAAGCATGCGAAGCATGGGGATGGCTCGTCCTGAAGCCCACGATGGGCACGCCTGTCAGAAGTCCACAACCGATATTGTACCGATAGCCAAGCAAAAATCTTCCATAGTAAGGGGGCCCAACTCCTCCAAATGGCATGTGCACTCGGCGAACGCACAAGGCCCAAGCGCAACCTTTGGTAGGTCGACTTAGCCGTGTAGCCACCATACATGTCGACCGGCCAACTGAACTGATCCGGCTGTTGTTCATCCCATGGTACCGTTTCTATGGCAAGGCATAATGCGCCACCTGCATATGCGCCAGGAAGGAAATGTCACCCTGCACGTCCGTCGACCACGCATTGTCAATCGACGCCTGCCGCACCGTCCTGACATTATGCTCTTGCGTGCTAACCATCTCCAGGATCAAGGTTGCTATCTCTCCAACTGTGAACCCCATGAATCGATCTATCCTTCCAGAACATGACCCTCTCGCCATCCCCTAGTGTGATATGAGGCTATTGAAGATCAGCTTGGCCTCGCTGTCCTCGGCCATGGGTATGCCCTGCCATGGGCGAGTAAGATCAGTTCTCCGAAGCCATTCCCACCGAACCCTCAGTGCAATGGCCTGCAAACTGAGGTCTTTAATTCCCAGCCCACCGAAACTTTTGGTCTATTCACTTTTGTTCTACCCCCTTTTACTAGCAACTCGATGGTGCTGCTTGAATATTTTGTTCCTAATGCATGCAACACACCTACATCCCTTATCTGCATAGGTCTGATTGTTCTTGAATCGGTTCAAATAAATATGGTGCTGATTTAGTTCCTTCTACTTCTACAGGTTCGAATACTATGGTCAGATTTTTTTTCGAGAATCCACAAGTTTTGCTAGTCTTGAAGAATATATTAAGTTCATTGCAAACTTAAAGTTAAGAGAAGATGATATTCAAGGAAGGGCACCTCCTCTTCCTCACCGTTCATCGTCTCTAGAAAAAATGTCGTCAGCAGCACCTGCTATCTCTATATATGAACTATCTACATCATCTTTAGCTAATCTCTAAGGCTTCATAATCCTATGTTGTGATGGTCCGATGAACTCTACTTCTCCTTTCAAGATTATTTTTCTTTTGGAGCATGGTAGCCTTTGATTTCAATTCAATGTTGTGCTCTATTATCCACCTTGTAAAATTCTAACCTATCTTATAATATGCACTTAGTACCTTGATATGTCTCTTGAATGAACACTTTTCTCCTAAGTTTCCGTTATCAGTAGTCTGGCCTGCATATGCAAATGCACAGCTGCACAACCAAGGCAAGTGCGCACAGGAACCCACAGGAGGCGCGCCCCAGCCACTAGTATGCAAAGAAGGACAAGACATTCATTGACTGACACGTAACCACCGGCGCACACACACACACACATACACACACACACACACACACACACACACACACACACGTAATGTTGCTAATTAAATATGTTTTCAAATGAAATCATCAGCTAGCTAGCGCTTGGCCACCTTCCATTGTTGAGCTCGTCACTCCTGAGTCGCTCCCGTGGGCGACCTCGGGAGGCAACTCTAGCACCGCCACTACTCGGCCCCCCGCCCCGGCATCTATCCCCTCGCCACCACAGGTGTCGCCGGCCAAAGGTCATGGCGTAGGCGGCGGCAAGGAGGCTCCTTCCCCCGCGCTAGAGTCGGGGCGTCGCGGGGCGCTCCCTCCTTCGCCGGCGGTGAGGGATGTCGTGTCTTCCCCAAGTCTGGCGCCTCACCGGTGTCCTAGTGGTCTCGTCAGAGCAGCTCCCCTCCCATGGCACCCAAGCCAGCTCCTTCTTATGGCGTGGCGGCTACGTTCCTAGGGGCGGGGATTTGTGCTGGCAGCGGATCTAGGAGCCCCTGCCCAGATCCGGTCGGTGGCAGCGGGTGATGGCTTTCAGGCGGCCGGCGACTTTGTTAGGTGGTGGTAGTGTGTCTGGCGGCCGAACTGCTCTGTGAGGTGTGGTGGGTGTTCTAGGAGGATTTGGCCAGGGCGTGGAGGCGCAGGGTGATGTGATGGTGATGGATGGCGCCCCGGCGGTGCACCGGTGCTGTGGTCGGTTGCACGATGGCGCGGAAGCTGGCGACGTAGTCATGGTGTTGCCCTTGCTCCGGGATGATGGTGTTAGGGGCTCCAGGCAGGAGATGGCGGGCCCATCGGCCGTTCTCGCAGCATGGCGGTGCACGTAGTGGTGGATCACATTCGTTAGCGTGCTGGTGATGGGGGCTGACCTAGTCCGCACAGGTGAAGCCTGCATGCTAGGCCCTTATCCCGGCTACTCGCTGGTGGCGTCGGTCCGTGTTTGTCGCCCTTAACGTTGTTGTACCATCGGTCAGATCGGCGCCGATGGCTACGCGTGTGGCGTTGTGTGAGCTCGGCTTGGCCTAGGTCAGTGGACTAGGGAGAAGCCTTGTTCGACGGCGGCCTCCGGGAGCCTCTAGGGTTTGTCTCCCCCGGTCCACCAGGACTGGCTGGGGACACAGGTGTGGAGGCTTCCTATGGTGGAAGTGTTGACCCAACCTTGGGGGCTGATGCCAAGCTAGGAGTGGAAGGAGGTCTTCCACTCTACCTACCATAGCTGGTGTGGTGAGATGAGGATGGTTGGCCGTGGCTGGGGACATGGATGCCGAGGTAGCGGCCCCAGGAGGTGGGCTACATGGGTGGCTTTCCCGTACGCTCCATGGTGGTAGTGGTGACTTCACCTCTTTGTTGTGTGGGCGACGAGGGGTGTAGTGGTGGGAGGTCCTGGCTTGTCTTCTTCCTTTGGAAGTGAAGATGTCCAGATCTGGTGTGACTTGGCTGTAGGGCGACTCTTGGCGGTGCAAACGAGTTTCCGAGTGAAAGAATTGCGCTTTGGTGCCATTGACTGCGACACCCGTGGGTGCCGCTTTCTTCTTGAAGACGTCGTCATGGGTTTCGTCCTTGTACCAGGGCTCCAGGTGAAAACCCTTGTTTGTCTGTTCAAGCTTGATAGTGGCGATGCTTCGCACCGTCACCCTCTTGGGGGCATTGTCGTGAAGCCCAGGCGTCTTCGATTGGGCCTCGTCGAGGTGCTAGCCCAGTTCTATGTTTGTTGTATCGTTCGGCCATGTAATTTGGTGTGTTTCTTTATATATAAAGCGGGACGAAAGCTTGTTTCGAGAGCTCGCTAGCTTTTGAGATTCAATGGCATGTCCTCCTGTGATTTTGTGTGTGCCATACTACTCTTGTACTTCTTTCTCTTAGATACATCGCATTGCTGGATCTTGCTTTCTTTCTCATCGTACATTTATCTTGCCCAACCACATGATTTTGCTGAATCAAACTCATTTAAGCTCCAATGCTAGCATCTCTCCATATATCATCTAGAAAGGTATTTTGGTCACAGATGGTTACTTGAGATCATCGACCCTGGTAAACTGACAGCTTGTTACATGAGCTCATTTTGGTCACATATGTGTATCAATCAATGTATGAGCAAGGGAAGCTAGAAAATAGATATGCACATGCACATGCTACGCTATTGATAACATTTCAAGGACCCCCCTAATAAGCAAGTCCAAATAACAGCTAAAGGCAGTAACCATAATGAGTTACTGACAACAAAAATTAATGTATGAGGATCGTGAGTCACAAACCAATTGTTTTTATTTAGTAGCCACAACTGAAATAGGCGATATAGTATATTTTGTTCACAACAAGCATACACACGAACAGTAGTACATACTGTAGTTCGCAACAAGCACACAGTAAGTTCCGTGCTATTTAAAAGCCACAGCCAGAGTTAATCAATAGGCAACATTATCACACTTGATAAGCAAATGCGCACAAACAGTAGTAGGAGTAAGCATGGATGATCATGCACATCAAACACCATGGTGGAGGTGGAGGTGGAAGTAGCAGCAAACAGTGCTTGAGAAAGCAGAGGAAACCTGGCGATATGTAGTACATCAATGATCTGCATGGAGTCCAGACAATGAAGCATGGTTCTTCCAGCTAGCGGTGACCAATATCAGCTGCAACACGAAGCGTATGCCACCACTGGATGCATTTTGAGATGCATTGACACCTTATAACCATTGAATCTGCAAAAGCACACCAATATAATGAAGCATCTTCCTTCCGGTTGTGACCTACATAAGCAGCATCAGT